ATTATATTATATTATATTATATTATATTATATTATATTATATTATATTATATTATATTACTTATATATTAAAAAAAAAAAACAGATAAGCTACTTGAACTTAGCCCATCCCAGGGAAAGTAATCCGACACCTTATTATTAGAATCCCTGGGTTAGAGTGGGGAGAGATCCTTTTCAGAAGTGCCGGAAAGATATCCTGGATGGCTCAACGACTGAATTATGTTCATAATAAACATACGCCACTACTGGTGCCTTTACCCCGTCAAAAGCAAGAAATGTCTGTAGATTATAAAATTATGTCAAGTTGAAGTGAAATATTAGAATATTGGTAAATTATCTACACCTATTTAATTTAATAATTGATTGATAGAGCGGTTTAAAACTGAGTGCCGTAAAACCAAAGTAATCACTCTAGCCAATCACAAAGGACATAGACAATACAGTGAACCAATCATTTCATGTAGCTGACGCAAAGTGCTAAGACGTACCCTTTTAGGCGCAGCCAGCATTTACGATATGGCTGGCTGGAAATGCTTTCCTCCACTACACAACGAAATGGAATTTGTGTTTATATTATTACATCAAGATCGTCAAGTATATGGTTGTATTTAAGGTTTCCAGTCAAGAGATTGTCAGATTGTATTTTGATATAAGTACAGGTTAGGGGAAGTCATCACAAACGATCACAAATTCGTGATCTCACAAAGTTTTCCTTCGCCGGTTCAAGGTTGGGATGGCTCTGCAGGCAGTTCCTTGATCGTATAAGGCGGTTGTACCACCCGTGTAACGATGGAGGGCGGGATCGAGCGGGAAGTCAGTGAGATATTTAAGTTGAGAGCAGAATCTTTAACTAGTTACGTTGCCTCGGGTATAACCAGCGTTGATTATTCAAGGGATTTGGTTAAACCAGAAGTTTACAATGCAGGAATAAACTTCTGGTAAAACCCAAGGAACCCAAGCCCATGACGGGCAGCACGTGAAAGAACTCCGTGACCTGCATTTGACTTACACGTGACTCGTGATATAGATCTACTAACAAAGACTGTAGTCAAGTCCATAGAGGGGTGCTGTTCGGAGATTTGGTCAAACAAAGTAGAACATACGCGTTGAATTTTCTGAACTTTACGATAAAAAAAACTAATGCTAGAAGCGGAGGCGTGTATTACAGTTGTGTTAAGGACCTGATCTTTCATTAACGCACCGTCCAAAAAAAAAACGCCTCAACATTTAACTTTGTAATATCACCATGTCGTCAATTCATTTACATCATAATCTAAAGAATGGTGACTCCCATTTTTACCACCCTTCTTACCATTCTGACATAATTCAATGGATAACGTTTTATCCCTTGTAAAAGTGTGCAATTTTAAACAAAAATTCTATATATATGACTGGATTTATGAAAACGTGGTTAAAGAAAAGTGCGTACTTTTGCACATGATGACTAAGTGAGCTACACACTTAGATTTCAAAACTCCTAAAGGCCTAAAAATCACACCAAGCGACCCCAGACAAGGGGGAAAGGGTGGAAAATAAGAACTTAGATGATAGAGTGGAGGCATAAAAAAGACTGGCATTCCTTAGAAATTTTATATCATCTACTCGAAGGAAAAAAACGTTTTTAGCGGAGTGAAATTTTAATTCAAAGTTTTTGTGCTTTCTTAGACGTTACAAGCAGGTAATTTTCGAGCATGCGTGTTGAAGTTTGTGGACTTTATCAAGAAAACTAACTATAGAAGTTGTTGTATTTTCTCAGACGTTTCAAGCTGATAATTTGCGATTCTAAAACGTTAAAGGCCCCTCTATAATTACAGTTGTAAAACTAAAGAAATGTTTCGATCGTATTTTTCTTGAGAAAAACCTATTTTAACTTTTAAATCACGGTAAAACGTGGTTAAATAAATAATTGCAGATAAATTTGTGAAACGTTCAGTGTTTTATGAAGAGACATGACGTCTTCTGTTACTATCACAAAATTGAACTGTTTCAAGCGTATTTACCGGTCCCGGATTACCGATTTCCCTTTCACAATTGGTAACGCGATGTTCTAAACAATTATTCAGAAAGAAAGCCTGCAGGGAAATAAGCAGATTGAAGACTTAACTCCAGATGCGATGAAAGAAACCTAGACTTCTTCACTAAAGTGCTATTTGAGCGCCGTACAAACCCATAAACCGTGAGCTCTTTAATAAGGTTATGATTCATTCATATAGTTTTCTTTTACCATGCATTTGGTTAGACCAGCTGTTGGATTATTCGTGTTGTTTTTGTTCACTGTTTGTTTGAGGCAGTCGTTGATATATAAACACAGGGTATTCCAACGCATTGCTGATATGTTGTATAACTTGGGAGATGTTCCCCCTATTTTTTCCATCTAAAACCGTTACCAATATGTGTATTTGTATTTGGTGCAGTAATGATTTCTTTTAACTGTCGGCGGACAAAGGCAGGGGACAAGAGATGAACCTATCTGTCACTGACAATAAGTATATCATATCCTTCGACGCTCACCGTAATGTTCATGGAAGCAATTTCTTTCAAAGTCTTATGGAAAGAGAGGAACCTTCTGCACCCGTGCATCACTGCGAATTCGATATGGCCCATTATTAATTTACTGCAGTCCTAGTAATACAGCTGTGCACTGATTTGAGCATTAGTCATAACTATGGACAGCCATAATCAGTCTGCATTAGTGTGTCCAGTGAGCGGTGGAAGTGTGAGACGCCCCTGAGGAGAGGCCAGGGCTGCCCCGGGAGAAAACATCAGTTACCCTCTCATTTACTTAGTTATTACTGCCGGCCGAGCCTGGAATGATGGTCTGTAGGACAGTGGACCCGAGTCCTGTTTACCTGCCAAAAGTATTCTGTTCTTTTCCGTGTACTACGTTTCATAAGCGACTAATAATTTTAAACCGCGTATGAAAAACAATGTCGCTTGCAAGATCTGTACTTCTCACTGATATACCAGAAGAATTATCACCACTTTACTTAGGTTTCCGCACTCTTTCTTCTCTTTGTCAAGTTATTTATTCAAAGGTGTTAGCTTTTTTTTTAAATATGGGTTCAAATTTTGCTCCATGGTCATCACCAGAAAAAAAAAACCATTTCTTCTGGCTTCACCGTCTTCAGTTGTAAATCTTGTATTGTCAGCAGTTCCACCCGTGTACTGGGTCGTGTTTAAGTTCACGCAGAAACTGAAGCACCGCCAATGATGGTCAATGATGTGAATGATGAACAAGAGTCGCTATCGGTTAGCTATTGTTGTGTGGAGTAATTTAGTGCAATTTAACGTGGAGTTCAGCGTTGTAGATATTCCCGGTTAGTTTTACCAGTGGTGCAAGAAATAGCGCCATGACATGATGAACTGGGTGAAGTAGAGGTTTCTGCCAGTTTACATAATATAACTGCAATTAGCATAATCTGTTTGTTTTTAACAAAGTTAGTAAAACCCTAAAACTGTCCAGTTCGAGTTGGAAAGCGCGCAGGTTGAGGCTAGTAAATGTCCATCTTAAACTGTTAACTTAATTTATCGTAGACACCTTTCCACAGTCTTAACGAGATGCAAACATACTGCCATCCAAGTAAGCCTTCCCTTATATTTGTCAAATAAAACTGAAAATCGATGCAAGATTGTAAATCGTGTGAAGTATTGTTGTCTCGACTGGCAGATTAATTATTTGTAGTGTTAAACAGTGATATGAACTCTTTTGTTTGCTGTCGTAGTTAGCAATGGCTCCAATGTCTATCATGCACGCGAAAACCTTAATAATTACTTCCCACGTGCGATTCCCATGGCAACGCACCAAAAGTGGCATTATAACTTTTACATATGAAAAAGTTACGTCACATATTTTGAAAGCAGTCTGTTTTTACTTAAGCCGAGCTTTTGTTATGTACACAATTATTCTATGTCGGTCTCTTGGGAGCTGGTGTTGCTTGGAGCTGGCTGAAGTAGTTTGTTTGCACATTTAGTTGTTTGCTGTCTTGCGGGGTCTCGTGGCCATACACATGAACTACATATTACTTTGAGAGCATTGCAATCAAAATGACAGTCGGTTTAACGGACTTGTTGGATCTAGCCATTAGTCCGCAAATCGGACCTGTGAATTTCTTTCATTTACGGAATCTTCTACACACTATTGTAGAACATTTTGGTATCGGCGAAATAGACGCACAGCAAGCAGAGGTCAGAGGCCCACAGTCAATAAGATCTTCATCTGAAGCCTCCAGCAGCGTTGATTCTTCGGACAGCGAAGAAGATGAAGGTTGGTATTTTCAAGGATATGTTACGTTTGGCTGTCGCTTTGACGAGCAATTTTGAAGTGGATCTAAGAACTTATAACTTATTACAGTTATCTCAGTTGTACGGCATTTAATATAACAACTATAAAGATCTTTGCAGTGTTACCTACCAAGTTGTCTGTTTTCAAAGTAGAACGGTATGGTTAAACGCGAAGAACATGGCTTTTTCGTAATCGTGCATTCCAGTCGCTTGCCTGGCCGGTTAATTATTTCTTTTGTTTGTATTGACAGCATGATGGGTACAGTAATTAAAACTTATATTGTGTGTTTGTTTTCGAAATAAATAAGGTCCTCAAGTCTTTTTAGTTTGTTTCTCCGTAGTCTTATGTGTTCAGAATGTGTCAAGTATTTGTTGATCAACACGTTTTTCTCTGTGGCAACTCCAGTTTTATCCCGAGTTTTATTTCCAGTTATAAAGTAATAGGAGTCGAAAAAGAGAAATAAACAAACTCTCATCACACAAATAACTAATCTACTTTTGCATAGTCTCCCCGGACGTAAATACTGTGTACATGAATTGTCGCCATCTTCAACTGAAAAAAGGATCCACAAGGAATCTAGACAGCCTTATCATTTCTACGAAACTAAGGTGCTCAGTAGGAACTGAATGTTCGTCGCACAAATGCAAAGAGACGTTGACTTGTGAGTTGAAACTGAAAGTCACCCGAGAGAGTTAAAGCTCAACTCTGAACTGCTCTCTTATTCCCGAATGCACCTGATAAGTTCAAACGTCAGTTTCTCCGGTGACAAGAAAAGCATCACTTAGGAATTGGACTTACAAGTTAAAACCAGGCTAGTTTACATGTTCAACGTAGACATTAGGTTTGATGCAAGGTGCGGGAAATGGCGAGACCCGGCTGAATGCAGTGTGCAGCAGAATCGTTGTTAAGTTTAAAAAATCGATGAAAAACCTTGTTTAAGTTGATATGCCTCCTTTTATTTTAATTCTAGACAATAATCACCTCTTCAAGAATGCAATACTAAGTTACTTCTAAAACGCTGCGCGTGCACATGTTACCGATTGCACTTGTCGCGCACGTGAACATTCTCGGGCACATGATTTTTTTTACGCTGTAGTATGGGACCAGCGAGTCAGTGATGTGTTCACATAGACCTTGGCCCACCTTCATAACAACGTTGGGTTGAACTCCCAGGGCGAGCGACCAAGAGCCACCGTACCACATTGTAGTAAAATGAAATCGTCTCAGTTCCTGTTTAAAATGGACAATTTGCAGGAAAAATCTTAACTTCATATTTTCGAGCTTTCAAAGTCGTGTTATAACATAGCGAGCGCGCTAGTCCTACCTAATTCCTATTGAGCCATCATGAACGAAATCTCTATATACGCACAGTACGGCCGTGCGTATATAACATGACGTGTGCCGTTTCAATTTCGCTGCAAAATTTCCGTTGGGTTTAGTGCAAGTTTCCCAATGTGAAGATTATTCTGAACAATCCAAACCCTACTTTGAGCCTTTGACTTTTGCCAAGCTAAGATGTTTACTTAAACTTGAGTATTTTGACTTGTTTGTCTACATTTCCTTTGAGTATTTTTGACTTTGTTTGCCTAGTACATTTTCATTATAATTAATTCGAAGAAACGAATTTTTCATTGACTATTTTAGAAACAAGGTTAAGCGTTTCCGTTCAACTGTTACTCAACTGATTGTGGCGTGTTAGGATCCTAATGACCTTTGTTTTCCTTCATCGTACATCGTGAGAACTTTGTAGTCAATCATAAACAAAACATGTTTTAACGCCCAAGTTGTTGTCGCCACGTTATAAAAGAATTGGTTCATGCTTTTAGCTGTGCATATATCGAGTTATGGATGTACTTGGGAAGTTTGGAGAGCACTCAAAAAGCTAGAGTTGCTCTCGGCTATCGCCTCAAGCAACTCTTACGCTTCTTTCGTACCCTCCAAACTTCCCGCATGCCATGATCCATAACTCGATATACGGACGCTAAGCATGAACCAATTCTTTACTGTTACGTGAAGAAATGATTCAATTTTGGCTCGCTAAAAGTTAATTTTTAACGGTGTTAAAGAACTAATTATATAAACGGAAGAGGTTACGATCGTCTTGTAAAAGGATTGGGATCGATCGAACAAGGATCGAACCAGTCCAACTTTTTTTTCTGTGCATGAAAATAAGTTAATCGGTCTAGATGTTGACACGACTGTCAATATTTTTCTTTGCTCAGAAAGCGAAGACGAGTCTGCAGACGATGGTCACGTGAGCGAAGAAGAAGTGACGCAGACCATAATAGATGAAGACGGACAGGAAAAGACTGTCACCGTTATGGTTCAAAAGCCACCCAAACCAAAGAAACGGCAGTCTGAGCTCACCGACCAAGATGGCAATGACAAGGACGGTGAAGAAAAGAAGAAACGTAAGGACAAAGACAAATCAAGACATAAAGACAAAGACAGCACAAGAGAGAAAGACGGGAAGCATTCAAAACACGAGAAAGAGGGTGACGAGAAAGACCACAAAAAGAAGAAGAGAGACAAAGATAGAAGTGGTTCATATGGCGGTGATTCTGTGTACGGAAAGAAAGATGACAAGAAAAAGGAACGTAGAATGACAATGGATGGACTATCTGAAGCCCCAGAGTTGATCAACATTAACCGCAGGTTGGAGGCAGCGGAAACAGGGATTAAAGGTCTCAGGAATATCATTGACTCCATGGTAAATCAGGTGGACTTTGGTGATGAGGTGGGTGGAATGTTAAAGGCGCAACTTGACCAGGTTCAACAACAGCTTAATAAAGTCGAGCTCGTTCCTGAAGGGGAAGCTGCAAAGAAGGAAAAGAAACGGAAAGGATCCAAGGCCAAGGGGCCCCAGGACATGCCCCAGGATGGAATCATCACTGAAGGATCTCAGCAAGGCCCAGGAACTGTTGAAGGCCAGGGTCAGTCCATGAAGGTGGTCCCTGTTATCCCACCACCTGATAGGATGTCCCAGGATATGCCCAAGCTACAACCCGGTCACCTGCCTTCAAGAAAAGACGAAAAGCGCAAGATAAGCTTGCCAATGAGAGGGGAGCGGCCTCCCAGTCAGGGAGAGAAAGCGCCGCTAAGAAAGCGCACCACAATGGAAGATCTGAAGTTACGTAAGAAGGCACGAGAAGAAGGCGTGACTATAGAGGAGATAGAGGCACGAGAAACAGCTCAGGAAAGCAAGAAAGAGAAGAAGAGTAAAGAAAAGGAGAAGGAAAAGGGAAAAGAGGACGAGAAAGAAAAGGCGGACAAGAAGAAAGGAGAGGAAAGCAGTTCTGATGAGGAATCTATTGACTCAGAGGAAGAGAGAGAGGCAATGGAAGAAATGATCATGGAGGAGATTGAGGCAGCGCTGGAGAACACCGACGATCCAGAGGCTCAAGCGTACGCTTTGCGCCTCAGTATTGAACAAATGAATAACATGAAGAGAAACTTTGCACAATCACAGGAAGAGTTTAAAAAAGAAATGGAAAAGAATAAGAGAGCCATTGAGCTGATCGCTAAGGATTTGGCCGCCTTCCGCTCTGCGAGAAAAGCTCAGGTGAGCAGTTGATTGTTTGTCTTTATTTTAGAAGTGTAGTAGTGCTGTATAGTGCTGATGCCGAACATTATATGAATTCTTATTCAAAACAATCGCTCGCTGTGGTTCTGAACAGGAAAATGTTGATAAGGTACGGTAAGGTAAGATAAATTTATTTAGCTTATTAATGAGGTTACAAAATTTATTTAGCTTATTAATGAGGTTACAACAAGGAAATGAAATGAAATTTGGGTTTTGATCTAGGGTAGCTTTATCGATCGATCAAAGAATCAGTCAGCTATAAGGCAAAGTACGTGTTGAGTGACGTATTCTGTCAGACTATCTATATATATATAGTACACAAAGCAAACTTTACTGGTCAAAACTTCATTTTTCTAGAGTGTTCTTTCAACTAGGCCAGCAACGAATGAGGGTTCCTCCTATCTTTTCACTGCAGCCCCGAACGCTTCAATGTTGTAGATCACGTGCAATTATTCCTTTGCTTTCACTACAGGACGCCGAAGGTTTCAATGCTGTACATCATGTGCATAGTATGGTGCTTGAACTGCAGGCTAAACATGAAAAGCTGGTCCAGACTACCGCTGAGCTGGTGAACGAGTACAACAGGCGCGAAAAGAGCCTGGAGGAATTGTATGGTTCAATTGACAGGCTGGATCAGAACAAGGCTGATAAAAAACATGTCAGCCAAGAAATCGGTATTAAGGTAAGTCAGACGCCCCTTCCCGCCCGGAGGGTACTCCCTTACGTCGGCTATATAAGTAAGTGCGGCCCCGAAAGGTATGGTCCTTAGCCGTTTTGGTCAGAAATAAGGTATCGATTTTGGCCATTTTGGTCTAAAATAGGGTATGGTTTTTGAATTTTAGCCTTGAGTTGGGTATGGTTTTAGGAGGAGCTATCCTACCTAATAAAAGCGGCATATAAACTTTGCTTTTGACGTCGGTCTGAACTAGGGAAGTAATTACAAGGTAGGTCTGAAACATGGTATTGATTTAAGGGTCAGGTCTTAAATAGGGTATCGAAGTTTTGGTCAGGTCATAGATAAGGTAGAGAAAATTGCAAATTTTTGTCATAAATAGGGTGAGGGGTTTGGGAAGCTGACCGCACACAATTCACACCTATGGATTAGCCATTCCCATCTCAGCACTTGCCTGTTTATCAGATGCAAATTTCTAAGCCAAAGGACGGACAGCGTATGGTGCATGGTTCCAATTATCGTTACTTGTTTGATAGCCGATATCAGAGGGAAAACCAAAAGTTGCTAGTGGACGTATAATCGGTTAGCTACCAAATTACGCCGGTATTTCATTACGTGTGTTTTATTTGTCCCTTCTTACAGGCCGACAAAGGAGACCTGGAGTCTAAAGTGAGCGTGAATCAATTTGATGAGAGCTTCAACCTGTTGGACCGCGGTCTTAGTGATGCGCTGGAGAAAATGGAGAGTCAAATGAGTATTGAAGATGCATTGAAAGAAACACTGCAAGAATTACAAAGCAAGTTGCATCTCAAACTCGATAGGCAGGAGCTGGATTCTCTCCGAGATCAGCTGGAATCACGCATCAGAGAAGTGCAAGTTGTACGAGCCACTGTGAAGGAGAAACCTGATGATGGAGAGCCAGCCGGATTTAGGAGGTAAAATCGTTCAGTGTCATCGTTTATTGTCTTGTACAGATGACAGTACGACCTGTTATTATGGTAAACATTTGCAAAAGTGGAATTTTCAACTTTTCCATTTCTTAAAGGGACTTTAAGGCGTTTTTTTCCGTACAATAATTTGGTAAACAAATTTACTTGTCGCGTCCACTATGTGTTAATCCAACCAAACTGATAATGTGGTGTTGGGCTCAATCGCTGGCGTTGACGTGAAAACGCCAGCGATTGAGCGTTCTTTGTAATCTTTAAATTAATATAAATTGTTTTAACCTAATCATTTATTTTCTTCTCAGGAACAAGACGGAGAAAGTTCATTGTATATCATGTGACCGCCCGTTGGAGGTTCAACCGGGAGGAATTGGACCCAACATGCCAAAGATCCAAGGTTTGCCAGGGCAGAAGTCTTCCAAACCCTACACAACTTTTGAACTGGAACACATCCGCCAACATCAAAAGATGAACATCGCTAAGAAACCTCCCGTCATAGGGGCTGACCTTGGTTACCAGGCACAAAAGCTCAAGAATGAGGTGATGGCCATGACAGGTCTCGTGGATCTGATAGAGCTGCCTCCTTCCCAAAGGTACTGTGGAGGCTCCCACACAATCATGCATCCATTCCGCCGATCTTTCAAGACAACGGGGTCTCATTTCAACCAATATGTCGTTATACGCGAGGACAGTGACGCCTCTGTCACATTACCTCGCCGGGACTTCATAGTACCACGCGACAGCAATCTAAAACGATACATGAAACCCAAGCTACCCGCCATAGGGCAGTCCAATACTCGAGAACCTTCTCCTCCTCCAGAGTACATGGCAGAGTATAAAGATCGGCCCCTCAGTGCCCCGGCCACCCCTTCAGTGGGTCAAAGGCGTAAACTCAGCTCGCCCCAGGTAATCGACGAACCATCCAATTCTCCACCTCTGAACGAGGCTGCATCGCCCGTCGAAATGGAGAGAATATCCGTTACAATACCTTCTCCAGCCGAAGAGTCATAACGTAACTATTGCATTAGGTTTAAAGAAGCTAACTTGCAAAGGTTATGCTATTGTGAAAAATGAACTTGTAGTACATCATTAGTAGATTGGTTTGTAGTTGGCTGGAAGTGTGATCGGTCTGAAATATATTACTGTGGGCGTTTTCCTACCGACGCAAATATTGCCGACTTCTCAAAACGGGGCTAAATGGTAAGGAAATTTCCTGAGATGCGAACCATTTAACCGAAAATTCCGGAAATTCTGCGGCCAAAGTAAAAAAAAAAAGTTTTCCAAAATTTCGGTATACTTTGCGTGGTTGTCTTCTTCCTTTCCGGAAACTCTAGGTGCTGTTCCATTCGCGCCACTGGAAATGTTAGGAAATTGAATCCAGAATTCTCGGTCCGATGGAATGCGCACGGAGTTTTGCAGTTTACCCTCAAATTTCTTGAAACTGTCGCAATCAAGAAAGCACTGGGTTTTTAATGTAATCCGCAAAGGCGTGTGCAGTCATCACTTCTTAGGAAGTACAACTGAGAAACAAAATAAGCTGGCTAGAAGTTCCAATTGTAAATATTCAGAAATATTTAATTTTGATTCTCATCCGACTGTTTACCTTGTATTTTATAAAAATCAATGTTTAGTTCTTGTGTATTTCTTGTAAAAAAGACTGCTTCCAAGAACCAACGACAACGTGCTTTAGCGCGGTTTTGTTTTCGTTGTTAAACCCAGAGAAAAGGAAATTTTACCTCTGTTGATTGTCACATATTCATTACTGAAATTGCGTGAAAACTATCTTACATAATGTTGACTGAGAATCTGAAGAATTCTTCTCTTGTAAAGAAATGAAAGTACAAGAGCAACAAATGTTTGAACGAGGTCGGGGATTTGTGTGTTTATTTATTTATTAGTTATGTTTTGTATTTATATTTATTTATAGTATTTTGTTTTGTTGTAAAGAAATTAGTGGTATTTAATTACAAAGAGTTGGATTAAAAATAAATATTTGCCTTTCTTGAAGTCTCTAAACGCCTGGTTAATTCTTCCAACACTCCTAAATTCAGCAACAGTTGACAACACTCGAGTAAAGGAAGTCCATTAGTTCTCAGTGTCTTTGCAATAGCCTCGATGCGATGTCGATTCAGCAGAAGACACGCTGCGAACAATACTGAGGTGCAAGCAGGACAGGCTACAGGTGATAAGTGGATGAATCCCATTTCTACTGTCATTAAATAAGGAGTTGTTGAGTGGACCCATCTTAGTAACACCACATTGTGTTAAAAGATTAATTGACAGGTGTCACGTCAAGACGTCGTCATACCCTCACATGATATGTCTTTGGCGGGCTGCACTGTTTGGCCCTGTCCTTTCGCCTATTAGTGTGAAAAAAAAAGCACAGGAAATAAATTCTCTTCCTGTAAAAAGGTAGGCGAAGTCTGAATACGAGCCAAGTGGCCGATCAGGCCGGTGCTTATGTTCACCTATGAAGTGACTAGGAGTATTTCCAGTCCCCCCTGGATGAGACCCCCAGTTGTCGGCACCCATTTATACACTTGGGTGGAAAGAGGCACCACGTGAGAGCAGTGTCTTGTGAAAGAACACAAAACAATGTCCCCAGCCAAGCCTCTCAAACCATAGGCGAGCACACTAACCATTAGGCCATTCATACATACATTCTCTTTCTGTAGTTTAAAATAATCAATCGAGTAGGGTGAGTGTAATGGTACCCAGCCTCCAATACATCTACAAAATCTTTTTCTCTGAAAGGAAACGTTTTCAGTCTTTCCATAGTTGTGAGAACACATAAAATGCATTTTTGGGAGAAAGAAATAAACAAGACAAACAATGCCATAGAAACTCAAGGCATAGGCCAGTTGGGATTGTCAGAGGTGTTTGGAGTCCTCCCAAACTTTCTCATGTTTCTATAAATTAACACTTTGCGACAGTACTGTCATCTCTGTTTTATAGTTTAATATCAGTTCAAACCTAATCAATGACCACGATGTAATCTGTAAATGGAGCTATAGCAACAAAATATCTCCACTTACGGTGAAAGTTGCGTGGAACCTCCAGTGGGATTGTCAGGTTTTCTTGGTGAGCTGATATAGTACGGACGATACTGCAAACCAAAAGTATCCATGTGCTTTTTAAGTAATGCGATGAAACCAAAGGAGGAAGAAAAACAGTCAATAGACTACCCCGAGCTTGAAAACACTTACAGGAGGTAACAGTGATTTTGGTGTCCATCTATTTAAATTAGTTAATCTAATTATTTTTTTAAGCATTCTTTTCTATTCACTTCAAATCCACTCATTTCCTATTGATTTTCCTCCTTGATACAAATAAAAATAAAAATGCTTAAAATTCAAGGTCCGCTGCTAAAATGAATGAGAAACGTACGAATGAACGCATGATTATACCAACAAAGAATTTCCTACAGTAAATGCTTATTTTAGGCTGTAGAAGAAATGGTCTAATGCATTACCGTAAACTTCCGATAGTAACGACCCTCGTGACTCTCAGAATTGGCAGCCTTTGGGGTTCATTACTTTTTTGGGGGAGTTGATACTTTCCAAAGTTTACGGTATGTTAATGTACATTTTTATTCTGTTTTTTATAGTCACTGGTGGGGTGGTCTAATCCAACACTTCGTTATCCTTTACTAACAGAAAATGATCCAAAACGAAAAGACAGTCAGACCACGAAATGTTAACTTACCGAGATTCTGATCTCTCTTGAAAACCTATCCAGAAAGCTTTTCATTTCAAGTTGACTTGTCTTCAGAGGGCTCAGTATTAGGTACTGCAAAATACACAAAGAATAATATTGATGGTATAATAGTTAAGTTATGTAATCCTTAATACACATTATGCACATGTAACAATATCAGTAGATGTTCATGAGAACTTGGAAGTTTCCATAAACATTGTACTTAACGTTTTCTTGAAGGGGGTAAAGGATTTATACTGGTCCATCACGACTCACTCCCCAGTATTTGATCAGGTTGCCATCCACTCCTCCCCCCCCCTNCAAAAAAAAAAAATAGCCTGGGTCATGAGAAAGAAACACAAATTGCAGAAGGGAACTGTGAGAGGAACACTGAGTGTGGTAGTGATTTCCTGGATTATCATACGTTGAGAGAAGACAAAGAGACATCGAGAGAACTGTGCAGGTGTGAAATTACATGCACATGCAATGAAAGAAAATGTTCTGGCAAATTCTCGAACAACCATAATAGCATTTATATTGTCCTTCAAAACTAAAGATTGTACAGCTTGCAAATATTGGCTGCTGGTCACCTCTCAATTCATAATTCTTGCAATCAAACGAGCTTGTTCCACCATCACATTACTTTACAATGTTGTACATGGCTTACCAAAGTTCTAGTATTGATTGGCAATTTGCTTCACTTGAGTTAAAAGTTCTGCATTTTGATTTGATTGAGACTATTTGTTTGAACATTAAGAGGCAAAATAAATGCCCAGTGGTTGACTGTTTGTTTTGGCATACTGTCTATACCTGAATATGAAAATCATTGAGCTCATTTGATGTTACTGCCACCACTACTGAGGTGGTTCCTTTCCTTTAAAAGTTTTGTTCTACAGGATTATTTCTGGAGCCAATCATAATTTTCCGCTTTTTAAGTTGGTAGGAAATGGCTTACCTTCCACTGAATTCTCTCACAGCTGTGGATATCATGAACTACAGGCAGACTTAATTTGATTTTCTTCACAGTATGGAGGTCTGAAAGAAATAAACTAGGTATCGAATTTTAATTCACTACTTTTGGGAGGCAGCAAAAGTTACCATTACATAATGTTGTGGGAAACCAACGAGCAAAATAATAACATTATTTGCTATATATTGCTGTCACTATATCACGTGATCTGCCTTATTACCAATTTGTAATCAACCAATCAGATGCCTTGGCTACAGGCCCAATACCCTGCATTGCAATACATCAATACTTGTTCTTGTATGCAATTGGTCTAAACATGTCACATGATGTAGCCAAAACCTGGGGAATATCAGAAGATATCTTGCAGTTTTAAAAATGTGTGTTATAGATTCATATGACTGTTCAGTTTTGACCCAAATTGAAATTGTTAAATTGATTAGCAAAAAATCTTTTGACTAGCAATGTTTTGAATGCCTATAGAATTATTGTGATATTTAGTGGAAAAGAGGTAAGGGGAAGAACCCCAATTGGCACAAAAATATGCTTGCATATTTGTACTTAGACATTATCAGTTCCTTGAAGCTCACAATTATTTTATTTTGAGCTTTGTTTATGGAAAACTGTTAGCTTCTCGCAACAGATCATGTCTTAGGACAAAAGAATGTCTACAGAAATATTCTTGAGCCAAATGACTGGTATTGTTCATATATCAAGTCACCTACTTGATAATCATCAGATAAATACTTACTTCTGCTTTATTGTACCTTTTCATACACTTCACCAGCAAACCATAAAATTCTGGTTATAAGCCCCCCTCCTCTGAAAAAGGCCCTTCTATAAATAAGTATATACATAAAGAGGGTGTCTCAAAAACTCAGACGTAAAATTCTCAGACCTCCTGGATGTCTTGAAAACTCAAACCCAAAAAACTCAGACCTTCTGGGTGTCTTACAAACTCAGACCTTAAAAATGAAACCCCCTTTTTTTGCTTCAAACAACAACCTCCCTGCTTCCTTTCCTTAAGTGTGCCTTGAATGGGAGTGTTGTTCCAAAGAACACACAACATCTTTTTATACTGCTGGATGACAGTCTCATCAGGTTATTTTGAAAAAGTTTTTACGCCACTTATCACACCCCCCAGCCCCTATTTATAAACCCACCCAAAACCCTTATGAAGTTGTATAAGCCCAGAGCTTATAAATGGAATTTTCTGTATAAGGTTTGTAAATTTTGGTCTCTCCATGGGTATTTTGGCTCCACTGTATCTCACTAAAATACAAACCATGGCTAGACCATTGTTGCCTGATATGCAGGTGCAAATGTGCACCATAAAGCTATGATTAGGTCTAAACATGCTTGCTTAACATATTTTTTGTGTTGATAGGATAACAACATAAAGTCTGAATGACTGCATGGATTGTTTTCATCAGTTTACGTACAATTGTTATACGACTTCGTAAAATCTTCTAGCAACTCCCAGAGGCTCTGTTGAAAGAAGAAAACTACCTTAAGCACTTAGTTTCTATAGCGAGGCACCATGGCAACTGAGGATAAGGATGAGGATAATTTTGAAAGGTCAAAACCCAAGACACATTTTCATGATTTGATGGAAACCTGATTTTGTTAACATTACAAAATATGTCCATTCAAGCCAAAAAGGGGGGTTATAATGAGCTATGTATGGACCAGGTTAAAAGGTCAAAAACTGAAAAAGTATCTGGCAGACCATTTCAAATTCTGTTGTTGTGTTTTGGGAATGGGATTTCACAGAACCCATGACCTCTTCGATGCAGGTGCAGTGCTGTACCAACTGAGCTATCAAGCCAACTGGGAGCTGGCCTTGTTGTGAGTTCGTAATATACCTGTACATGGTGAAGAATACTTGTAAGTGGATATATGAAATATCATGTATTTGAACTGAGGAGAAAGATACGAGCCAAGACCCATGACTCATGACCTCTCTTCACTGTGTACAGGAGCGGTATGTTGCGAACATACAATGTGACCAGCACTTGCTCATTGCTTTGGAGTTTGACTTTTCCTTAGTTATTAAACCACAGACTCAAACACTGACCAAAACAAGCTCCATGGGATCAAGGCGGTCCTCATGCCACCAGCAAAGGAAATGTACCTTCCTCATATTGATCATGATCATTACTTTCAATAACATGCATTTTGTTCATTTTCAGCATATTAATGAACTACATTAACCAAGCCCATTAGTTCCCAAATGAAAAGAAAATACACCTACTTATAATGTCCTTTAACCTACTTTAAACTTTAGGGGCTTGAACATCAGGTCATCTCTCCTACTTAGTCCCAATGTCCCAAATTTTCCATTGTGGTGCACACCAAGAACCACATGCCTATGTGAACCACAGAAAAGGAACACAAAATGAGTTATTTATCATCAGATGAAAATCCTTCTAGAAATCAAACAGTTCCCCATTTTGAATAACGACACTGAATAAAACAACCGCTGTACACAAAAAGCGTAGACTCAAATGAAGTCAAATATTCTGTGGACAACTCAGTCTTGCTCCCATGTGATTCAGTAGCTCAGTCTTTCTCGAACAGACAAAATGATCTTCAGGATGTTACTCATGATTTGTTTTGTTTGTTTTGTGCCGAAAATTATGGCACAGAAGCAGCTAGTCTTCTGGTTTTTTCCTGAGTGTATCAAAATGAAATATGGGAATGAGGATAAAGCTATGGGACAGCAAGAAATTCCAACGACTACGCTACAAAAGTTCAGAGTGGAGTGGAAGCAGTAGTATTCTTGGCTGGCCTGGACTATAATTATGTGGAAATTTTTGTGCTTTTGCAAGACTCAGTATATGGTAGTGTATCGAAGCTTCCTCCTCCTTTGTCACTGGAGTATGGACCAATTTTGAAACAGTACACTTGGACAAATCATCAATTAAGT